CAATGAAAAAAATACTGAACCTATGGGTGGATAATATTGATAAAGAACTCATAGTTAAGCCTATATTCGGTTTAATTACAGGCATTTTAGTCCGTTTGCCACAACATAAGACTGTACTATTGGGTGATGATATCGATATCCTGCAGATTATGCCAAAGCTGGTTAACTCTAACCAATTGAATAAGATTTATGCGACTGCTTTAATCAAGTATATTGCTATGAAAACGACGTTCAGTACTCAACTGTCAAAGCCTACGAAAGAAATACAGCTTTTAATTGATAAAAATATCATTCATTTGATTTATGATTTGATTCAAAGCAACGAATCACTAAAAGTCAAGAGATGTGCCGTCAATGCAATGTTTGTGACCGCATATAATGCCGACGTTAAGGATCAATTGACGCCATTAGCTAAGGGTATGTCATATAAGTTATATTTTATGATAGGTCATATTTTATTATGGTAAAAATATTTTTATTGTTTCCCACAGAATTACCTCGTGACTATTAATCTTGTTTACTATACTGAATGAATTAAACCTTTTATTGCATTTGTATTCATATATAACGCAATATCTCGCACACATGTATCTGCAGGTTGTCTGCCAGTCCTCTGCTCCCAACTCGACACCGATGACAAAGAGTACCTGAATTTAGTTTTGCTAACAATCTTCGGTTTCCTGTTTTGGGAATTTAAGGCATTACCCGACAAAGAGAAAAAGTTGTTGACCTCGAAGGGCACTCTGTCGCCATTTGCGGTGATAATCCAAGACTGCGATGGCTTACAACGATTGAATCAAATAAATGGTCACCGACAGGACAAAGAGTCTAAAAATAAGTACCATATGCCGACACAAGGGGAACGGCGGGTCGAGAAGATACTGGCGCTGGCCTTTCACGTGGAGACCCGACCCCTGGAGGGACCATGGATGATGTTAGTTGATAGTCTTGTTGGTCATGTAAGTCATACTGTGTGCAATTATATGAATGAATATATGATTTATTAGTTGTGTTTCTATTTGTTTGTTTCATTTAGTACTACAAACTTAAGGCTCGAATTGACCAACAATTTGAAAATATTGATTTTATTAAATTGAATAAATAAACATCTTGTTAACTAATATTCTTTAAGTGTATATTTAACAAAAAATACTTTTACTATCATATATAATATGAATTTATATGAATACTTTTATGAATATAAAGAATTTAGTTTAATCTTAAGAGTTGTTAATTTGTTTTTGTTATTTTGCGTTCATAATAAATATAACAAATATAATTTATTCCCACATTTTATTAATCAATAAAAAATCATATAAATATATCTATACCGGTAAATCTACTGAATAATTTACAATAGGGAGATACAATAGTAAAATCATTTCACAAATAAATACTGAACAAACAAAATATAAAAACAATAAAACGTTTAAAATGATATTGTACAATATGATAAAATAACTAATAATATTATGTACTAATAATACTTGACCCATCCGATGATCCGGAGCCTGTATTTTATTATTTTGAGAAAGTTTTAGAAAACTCTTTCGATAGACATCCGGAGAATAAGCAAAAGTGGATGTTTTGGGTAAATGCCACTCAAAGTGATATTATTGTTACGGAAATTACAGATCGTATACTGAGTACCATAACAGTAACAACCACAGTTGCTGGTTAACTTTGTTAATTTTAATATGAAATACTCATAACTTTTTAAATATATAAACAAATGTTATAATAATGATTATACTAATAATGTTAAATTGTTTGATTACGTTTTTAATTTCAATAAATTAATAAATACAAATTGTATAGTCAATAATATCAATTTAATCACGTATGACAACCGATGGTTTAATAGATTTACGTTTGTTTTGATTATTACCTCCGGGGATTCGGCATTTTCTAGAGCCGTACGGCGCTTTCATACACTTTTTCTGAGTATCACTGTCTATACCTTCTTTGTATAGCTCCAGTAGTTCATCCCAATCCACCTTTAGATCACATTCAGCCTATAATTATACAATAAGTTAGTATCTACAAATTATTACATTGTTTATAAAATCAGATAGCTTATTTAAATCAACAAGCAAGTCAATTCTGAATGAGATATTCAATGAATGGATACATACTTTTGCCACCTTTTGAAAGCAGTCAAAAAGAGCCCAATTATGACAACACATCCGTATCTTCTTATAACTCGCGGTTTTCTTTTGGTTTTGGTCCCAATTGTTTTCCCAATCCATACCACACTTATTGATGGCCTCTAAGTTGCTTTCCATACATTTCACCAACTCTTCAACATCCGTATCTGGTGTCGTATTTTCAGTCGTGCTTTCAGTAGTAGTTTCTTCAGAGGTGTCATCACTGGTATCTTCAGTGGTACTGTCATCAGTGGTGTCTTCAGTGCAATCTTCAGAGGTATTTTCAGTTGAGTCCTCAGATGTGTTTTCAGTTGTATATTCTGTGGTGTCTTCAGTCACGTCTTCAGTGGTGTCTTTAGTGCAATCTTTAGTGATTTTTGGCTTAAATTGTGATAATTCTATAACTTTCGCCCCGATAACTATAGTACACATCATTAATATCAATAGTTTAAACATATTTTCTATTTATAATATCTTATTAAGACTACTAATAAGTTATTAGTAATAACTATATTGAACAAATAATTCTTATAATTAATGTGTCAAATTGAATTAATTTTTATTTATATATGGTTTTTATGCAAACAATTTAGATCCAAATAAAGTATTTCCTTTGAATTTGTAATACAGTATTCTTTTGCAAAAAATAATAATTTGGAAATAACGGAATCAATACATCATTTAATATACTGTAGTTTTGTAGAAGTGATTTAGTTTTTCTAATATAGATAACTGTTTGCAATAATTTTAGTAATAATTTCAATAATGTTTATGATAAATATATTTTCAAAATATAGAAACAAATAAAATTACAGTTTTACTAATTATATATTTACATAAAATTCTATATGTAGGAGGATTTACTTGATAAAAAAAGTCAGTATTTTTTATATTTATTACTGTATGAATATTGTCAACAAGTAACTCAACATATCCAATATATTTTTATTAATAAATATTTTAGTTTTATTAAAAAAAATTAAAATAATTTAGTGAATCATCAATTTGTCAATAGATTCTTGCAAAACAAACCGGAACTCTAAATATAGCGATAATTTAAAATGACAATTGAAATACTGTATTACTCATATTTATGGAAATATACCATTTAAACATAAATGTTACAGTAAATTACAAAAAGTTACCCCTAATCGTTTTAAAAATATTTATTCTATTATTTCTAACACTTATTCTGTTAATAAGTGAATGGTGTGGAAAATGTAGAAAAATGATAAAAAAGTATCAGTGACCCGGACGTGATTTGAACACGCAACCTTCTGATCTGGAGTCAGACGCGCTACCGTTGCGCCACCGAGTCTATGGGTTTATGTTACGGTACAACTGTTTTTATGTTACAGACTTTTTCTTATCTAATTTTTTGAAACATAACTTATGTTACATTAGGTTATCACTTATAAATGTGTTTAATAGACGTTAGGTGTACTTGATTATATTCCTTTGCTAACTTGAATGACTTTCATTTTATTATTCGCTTAATACAATAAAGTATATTTGATGTGCTTTTTTGAATGTACAGTAATGTTGCTAGACACTTTGTATTAGCGGTTATAATAACAGGAATTACAATTCAGTTTTTAGTATTCTATTAGTTATGTCTAATTTTCTTAACTTTTTAATAAAATAATCTCGGTAATCCCTTTGTATTATTTAAATAATTTTATTATTAAATTTTTATTGCAGTTTTCAAAATTAATAATAAACAATAACAAGTTGTTTTTATTTTAATAAAAAAAGTTATCGGACAACATTTTTAATTAAGAATTTTGATTTTTAATTAATGCTAGTTTCATTTTAGACAACATCTGTGAGTGTCTTAATGGTTAGATTATCTTTGATATCCTTTTCAGTGATTTTGGATTCCGTTTGCATTTTAATGGTTTTCTTTCCGTCGAATATAAAGAATCCGTTTTCCATGAATTGAGCCCTAATTCCAATTCCAGAGTTTGCTTTGAAGTCCAACACTACAAACGGGGCCACAGTTTCCGATGAGAGACTCAACTCAAACACTGTCTTATCGTTCACTTCAGTCGACGTCTTCTTCACATCAATTAGTTTTATGTTTGGTTTCACGAGTTTTGAGTTTTTGGGTTCAGTTAATAAAGCGTATGTCACCATGTTAAATTCCTATGTACGATGGGCGTGTAGGGGGGAGGGGGGGTCAATTTTTGACCAAAATTTTGCGTACGTACTTTGTGCACGCAGCCTTAAATGTTTCAGTGATACAAAAATAATTTAAAAATAATCTCTCTTCACTTCTTACTTATTAATAATGAAGTTAAAATATACATATCTATATAACTATTAACTTTTCTAGATTTTACTGTAAAATTAACTGTTTAAACTAAACTTAATAGTATCCTCATACCAGATGAATGTAGTACTTGGTGATATGTTATATCTCATATTAATTAAACTAGATAACATGGTAGTTTTAACTCAAAGTTTACCAAAATTTATCATATAGAATTCATGAGGGTTTCACACAATTTTCAGTAATTTTTCTGCCTGCTAAATACAATAGAATTAATTATTTTAAAATGTTATCTGGATTATATTAGGTCCAATGATTACAAAGTTAGAAACATTAATGTGAAAATTTGGAATATTATGAATGCATTTAAATTTTAAAACGCATTTTGATTTTACGTTGATTGAATTTTTAATATTGAAAATCTCTTGAAAAATGAACAAGATAGAGTAATTTTTAATTTGCCTCAAATTTAACCAAAATACTAAAAATCTTGTAGAACCCCATGTATTCTCTATAATAAATTCTGTATAATTATATATTTTATGTAATATTCGGGTATTTATATTTCTACTTATAATTCATTGCAATGAATTTGAATAGCTGGGGATTCATAAAATTGAGTATGTTTTGACTGGTATACACCTAGATATTTTTACTAATTTACTTGCTAAAGGTAAAAATATAAAATTATAATAATAGTGGTCAAGTGAGTTTTGAATTAAATACAAATATTTCATACAAATTAATGTAAACTCAAACCAAACTATACTTTTACTGATAATTCAATTAGAAAAAATATCTAGGTTTATACGATAAATTTTACAAGCTTAGTCTTTCAACTATTGAGAACCATGATTTAATTTATTTTATTTTATAATTTTATAAAAATATTCATTATTAATGATTCAAAATTAGTACAAGCTTAGTAAATAATATGACACATGCTGTAGTTTTTAGATAAAATATTTAAGTTTATTATTCGGAGATTGTTATGTCTTACAGAAAGCCTATCAAGGTAAATGAATGAGGTATGAGTATTTAAATTTAAAATAAATTTCATTGCATTAATAAATATTCTGACAAAAGTAATTATTTTAATAAATTACTAATAATTTATAATATTTGAGGGGTCATTCATTTAATGCATACCCACTCTTTTTCATTCCTAATTATAACTATTAATAATATGTTTATAATATAAAATTGTTTAATAATTATAGTCAAACGGATCCTGCAACTGATAACAACGAATTCATTAAGGATTCACTTCTAACAATTCAATGCTTAATATACTATTCGCCAAACTTTGAGACAACATCTCAAGTATTGTCCCCTTTAATGAATTTATTAAAACATAAGGNTATACTATTCGCCAAACTTTGAGACAACATCTCAAGTGTTGTCCCCTTTAATGAATTTATTAAAACATAAGGACTCTGTAGTTATCAGTGAATCCTGTTATGCACTCTTCATATTCAGTGAACGGTTCCCAAAATCGCGACAATTATTAATCACATCCAATGCTATCAAAGAAATACTGAACCTATGGGTGGATAATATTGATGAAGAACTCATAGTTAAGCCTATATTCGGTTTAATTACAGGCATTTTAGTCCGTTTGCCACAACATAAGACTGTACTATTGGGTGATGATATCGATATCCTGCAGATTATGCCAAAGTTGGCTAACTCTAACCAATTGAATAAGATTTATGCGACTTCTTTAATCAAATATATTGCTATGAAAACGACGTTCAGTACTCAACTGTCAAAGCCTACGAAAGAAATACAGCTTTTAATTGATAAAAATATCATTGATATGATCTATAATTTGATTCAAAGCAACGAATCACTAAAAGTCAAGAGATGTGCCGTCAATGCAATGTTTGTGACCGCATATAATGCCGACGTTAAGGACCAGTTGACGCCATTAGCTAAGGGTATGTCATATAAGTTATATTTTATGATAGGACATATTATGATAGGTCATATTTTATTACGGTAGAAATATTTTTATTCTTTCCCACAGAATTACCTCGTGACTATTAATGTTGTTTACTATACTGAATGAATTAAACCCTTTATTGCATTTGTATTCATATATAACGCAATATCTCGCACACATGTATCAAAGGTTGTCTGCCAGTCCTTTGCTCCCAACTCGACACCGATGACAAAGAGTACCTGAATTTAGTTTTGTTAACAATCATTAGTTTCCTGTTTTGGGAATTTAAGGCATTTCTCGGCAAAGAGAAAAAGTTGTTGACTTCGGAGGACACTCTGTCGCCATTTGCGGTGATAATCCAAGACTGTGATGGCTTACAACGATTAAAGCAAATCAAAGAGTCCAACAATAATAACCATACGCCCACACAAGAGATACGGCGGGTCGAGGAGATACTGGCGCTGGCCTTTCACGTGGAGACCCGGCCCCCGGAGCGGAAACAGTCTCTATATTTAATGTCGTCCACGTTTCCCGAGGTTAATCCCAGGGTAAAACAGGAACCTCTCGATAGTCTTGTTGGTTATGTAAGTCATATTGTATGCAATTATATGAATTATGATTTATTAGTTGTGTTTCTATTTGTTTGTTTCATTTAGTACTTCGAACTTAAGGCTCGAGTTGAACAACAATTTGAAAATAGTGATTTTATTAAATTGAATAAATAAACACCTTGATAACTAAACATCTTATTAACTAATATTCTTTAAGTTTATATTTAACATAAAATACTTTTACTATCATATATAATATGAATTTATATGAATACTTTTATGAATATAAAGAATTTAGTTTAATCTTAAGAGTTATTTGTTTTTGTTATTTTGCGTTCATAATAATTATAACAAATATAATTTATTCCCACATTTTATTAATCAATAAAAAATTATATAAATATATCTATACCGGTAAATTTACTGAATAATTAAAAAAAATAAAATAATGCATTTCACATAATATCTATGACTTGATATGACATACGAGCGATCAGTTCCCGATGACGGTGTCTTGAGGTGACCACTGATTGGGTTAATAGTGAGCACATATGGTCTAACCATTTGTAACACTATTACTACGATTACTATAACTATAATCACATGAACTGACAGTTAATTCACAGATTGTTTACAAATTTCAATTCATGTCAACAAAACTCAACGCAAAAGTGTTTCAAAATATTTCATCCTCATTGAGGGATTGATTTAAGAAATATTTATAGATAATTCTTACACACCGTACCTCCCAATCCCTCAATGAGGATGTTACCTGCGAAATCCCTATAGAGGTGTTGGATCATTTTTCATGTTCTTTCCAACCATGTGCTGATTGTCTCTACGACTTATACTTTTTGTTGTACAGATAACCTACCTGTGCCGACCTACCGGTGCTCTAAACTAGTACTCTCTTCGGGAGAATATGTAAGACAAAAAACCATAGTTGAGGTTTAAATATAAATTTGATTACTTAAATAGTTAACAATAACCCGCATTAGTGGTCAAATATCGTTGATAAAACTTTTTTCCAAGTCTGATACAATGTTATCAGTATACATCTGATAAACTCATATGATAAGTTAACCTAGGTGTCGTTTTATAGTTTCGAAAATTGATACTGTATTAATTATGTGAGCATTTTAATAAAGATTATTATTTTAAAATTAGAATCCAGGTAATAATTAAGTTATTAAACTAGAACGAACTATTTGTTCATATGAGATAATTAAAATGGTACTTGCAAAATTACTATTCTAATGTTCAGAATTTTTATTTCATAAAATTAATCCCTAATAAATAGAAAATCTGTTTTGAGACCAATTATAAATTACATATATTTTGCTTTAATTATGTAAACTTTATTTGTTTAATTGAACCCAATATCACTTTACTTTCACATGGTTTATAATCTAGTAATTTGATCCGGCATTTATTATCACTTTTTACGATTTAAATAAAGTCTAAACTTGAGACTAATTAATTCAAATTTGCTTATATCAATCAATACACGTGCACACTGGTAACATCTCAGCACGTAGTCAATGATATACTGTATTATAAATGTTTTTAAAAACAACTTTTTATGATTGAATAACGTTTTTAAAAACCGTATGATTCACAGAAACAGATGTAACACAATATCTCACTTATTTAAGTGCAGATACTGTATTAACATAATATTATTATCTCAAATACTCAAATCAAACTTTATTGAAATCAAACCTTATCATAACATTGCAATCATTTCATGCAACCTTGCAAAGCATCCAAAGATCGGTCGGAGAGGAAAGGGATAACAGACGGAAAACATGTAAAGATATACAGTGTATATCAGTGACAGTCACTCAAACTTTCAGACAGAAAGGCATGTTACGACTTACAGCTACAGTACCTCTCTTTTCTATCAATTTCTCAAATACAAATATCATGACATCATACATTGAATTTGTGGGACAGCTATGATCTGGAGTGGTTAACGTCAGAATAGGGGACGCCTACCAAAATTAAGAATAAGAACACCTATAAAATATTTCTTATAAAAACAGAATCAGAATCTATTTTTCACCAAAAATTAATAGACACAGTTTTCTCAACTAATAATAAAAGCTAAATAACTATTAAAAATAAATCTCGTATATAAAACTAAAGCACTTTTTATATAATAATTAAGCAATGGCTTACATCAAAAGAGATCCCTTTCCCATCATTGGTCTAATAAAGTCAAATAAGGACAAGATCCAAACAAATCTGGATGACTTTAGTAACGCTAAAGTCGAGTCAAAGTTTCATCAATTGAAGCATGAATTGAATATTAACGGTAAATACAGAGATTTTATTTTTATAAACTAATTCTCGTTTGTATTACTAGACGAATACTCTATAAACCTAAACGAGTTTAAAGGGAAAGTCTTTCCCCGACTCTGGGAACTGTTGTCGACTACCAGTGCTCTAATGCTGTTACAACTCATTCTCTACAACGACTATAAGACCCAAAAATCACAACTAATTAAGA